TTCCTTTTTTTGGGGGGATTTTGTGGTTGATCGTTTATTGCTGGCCGTGTAGCTACTGGAACGTCAGGACGTGAAATCCCGGCCAGCCAGGGAGCTGGCCACAGATAAGCCTTTCAAAGGGATGATGATTTCTCTAGCCGGCCGTTTAAACCGGACACATGTATGCTCTTATTTATAAAATATGACATGAATAAAGATTTTTTTGCATGGCCGCTGATATTTCTGCTGGTTTTGTAATTATAATTTACTTTTTTTTTTTTTAATCTGAAATTTGGTCAGCAATACTGGAAGTCCAAGATAGAGAAGCATGGAGGGAAAGTTTCCAACTCCATTATTGGTAGATATTCACAAAAATGGGCAAAAAAAAAAAAAACTTTTTTTGGCCTCTAATGTCATTTTCTAAAGGGTGTGTGGTTTTCTGTAGGGGCAAGCTGTCTGGTCGTGTCCCCGGCCGAGAGAGAGCGTGGTGGCTCGTCCAAATTAGCTGAAGCCATGTAAGAACAATCTAAAAAGAACAATCTAAAAAGGCCTGGATTGATATTTTTCAAGATAACCGAGGCTTTTTTTTCCATTTCGAACATGTCATTTGAAAAATTAAGTAATGTGTTTGAAATTGATTTAGGGAGAGGGGTATCCCGGTAGTGAGGGAAGCTTGGTTAAGTGACTGCATCGAAAAACGAGAGACTTTGCCACTGGATGCGTATGACGTGGCAAGTGACCTGGCCGTGGACGGCAAACAAATCCCGTTGTTTCAGCAGGATGCGAGTGAGGAAGCTCTCGAGACGTTTACTGCTGAGGTGAGGTGCATATACATTATATACACCAACTCGATGGGTTGGTTAATATTAACTGGACTGATTTCTTGAAAAAACATGATTACTTGCTTCAGCTGAAGGTATATGGTAAAAGAGGTGTGCATAAGGACACCAGACTGCAGATTGAAGGCGGGCAGATACTCGAGAAAGATGGCCTTCTCTACAACTGTGCTTTTGCTCGTTCGGATCGAGGAAAAGGCGTGAATAAGTATAAACAGAACCTAGAACTTTTTCAAACTAGTCCTTGGGTTTAGTCCAAATTTGAATTAAAGGGGTGATTCGTATGATTTTCTGGTTTTTAACTCGTTTATTTGTACACAGCTTTTGCATTACGCAACTGATAGTGGTGCCCGAGAACCGTCTGTACATGTACTATAAGAAAGGAAGGATAGGTGATGAAGCTGGGGCAGAAGAGACTCTTGACGAGTGGCAAGATATGAATGCTGCACTAAAAGAATTCACCCGACTTTTCGAGGAGATCACGGGGAATGAGTTTCTGCCATGGGAGAAAGAGAAGAAAATCCAAAAGAAGATGTACAAGTTTTTCCCAGTCGACATAGTGAGTGAACAAAAAATGTTCTTTTGTAATTATTTTTCAGTATAGATTTAAAATGCTTGTAAAGATAAGATTGTGATTTTTTTTTTTTTAGGATGATGGAGTTGAGGTAAGGCATGGTGCTTTAGCCCTCAGGCAGCTTGGAGCTGCGGCTGCTCACTGTAAGCTCATTCCTAAGGTGGCGAATTTCATGAAAGTTTTGTGCAGCCAAGAAATTTATAGGTGGGCCCTGCATGTAAAAATCTCGTTTTTTTCGCATTATTAGCTTAATTTTTACACTCTCGTTTACTGCACGAATGGCGCTTGTATTTCAGGTATGCATTGATGGAAATGGGGTTGGATTTTCCTGATCTCCCTTTGGGTATGGTCACCGATATACACTTGAAAAGATGTAAGCCCGAGTGTTCCTTTGGGTCTCATTTGGTCATTCGGTGATTTTCAGTTGGTAATTTTTCAGCGAATGTGGTGAAAATGTAGGTGAAGAAGTTCTCCTGGAATTCGTGAAGAAGCTCATGGAGACAAATGTGGCGGGGCTGAAGGAGGCGGCTTTGTGGTCCGATTTCAGCCAGCGTGTTTTTACGCTTATGCCCTCGACCAGACCATATGTGTTCCGCGATTTTAGCGATATAGCTGACCATGTGAGTAACTTTTTCTCTATAATAATTATATGATAATGAAAAGAAAATGAACATTTTTAATGAGAAAATTTTTGCAGGGTGTGGCTGCATTCGAGACTGTTCGTGATATAAATGTGGCTTCGCGTTTGATTGGTGACATGTCGGGGGCTACTCTTGATGACCCCTTGTCTGATAGGTACAAGAAATTGGGGTGCACTATTAATCCTGTAGACAAAGAAGCAGACGATTACAAGATGATAGCCAAATACTTGGAGAAAACATACGAGCCTGTCAAAGTTGGAGAAATCGTACGTTTTTCATCACATTCTCCCGTTTGACCATTTATATAGATGTTTGACTTTTTGTTTTTTATCAGAGTTATAGGGTGACGATTGATGATGTATTTGCTGTGGAAGTGAGTGCGGGCCCATCTCTCGAAGAGATCATGAAACTGCCAAACAAAGCGCTGCTTTGGTGTGGTGAGTATTGACTAGCAAGTTTCCACAGTTTTTTTCCTGTTCAGTTTAAAAGTTGCGATACGTGACTAATGGTCGGGCGGTCTTTTTCAGGCACTCGGACTTCGAATCTTTTGCGGCATCTGAAAAAGGGGTTCTTGCCTGCTGCATGTTTTCTCCCAGTACCTGGTTACATGGTAAAGATAAAACGATCATCTATCATTATTATTACTACTACACTTGTATTGTTACTGTTATAATAATAATTTGTTTTTCACCGTAGTTCGGGAAGGCCATAGTTTGCTCAGATGCAGCTGCCGAGGCGGCTAAGTATGGTTTCACGGCCGTTGATCGTCCGGAGGGTTTTATGATCCTGGCTGTTGCATCCCTTGGTGAAAACATAACTCAACTCACAAGCCCGCCGGAGGTAAATATTTATGCAAATCATAATTTTGTTCCACCTGAACATGTGCTTCTTTCAGGCTTACATTATTGGTTACTCACATAGGATGCTAGTTCACTGGAAGAGAAGAAAATGGGTGTGATAGGGCTCGGAAGGAAGAAAACGGACGAGTCTGAGCATTTTAATTGGAAGGGTGATATAAAGGTGCCCTGTGGTAAGCTCATCCCGTCGGAGCATAAAGATAGTCCTCTGGAGTACAACGAGTACGCAGTCTATGACCCAAAGCAGGTAGTGTTATGAATTTTTACGATTACCATTTATAGAGTTGCTTTGTGTTCATTATCCAATTAAGTTATTTTGGGTTATTGGCTTTGTTTTGCAGGTGAGTATAAGGTTCCTGGTGGCAGTGAAGTTTGAGGAGAAGGATGTGGTGTATGACACTGCAGAGTAAGTGAAGAAAAGGCGAGTCGAATGGCCTTTTAGCTTGAAAAAAGGCACGACATAAACGGATGATTAGCGTACAAAGAATGGTGTTCGTAGGGTCTTTTTGTTCTGTTGTGAAATGCATATTTTGGTGTGATTTTGTGTGTAGATATATGATGACATGTTTTTTGCTGCTGTGAATACCTTGTCATCAGAAAAAGCAAACAATGGTTAACTATGGTCATGTATTGATGTAATGTTTTTAAGTAGGTGACTTTTTACATTTTCATGCTCGGGTTAGTGTTCCTCTTGCTGCTATCTTTCCTCGACTTCTGCACTATCCTTCCTTCACTTCTGCAGATATATCTGCATATTTAATAAAGATGAAATAACTTTCTTCTCAAATTGAGTACACATTTTTTAAGCAAGTTATGAAAAATGTTAAGCAAGATATCGGAGCATTCTTCAGACTTCAGTTTCAGCGAACAGAACGTGTGATTCTTCAGACTTCAGTTTCAATTTACACTTACAACCATACCGACCAACTAAAACACTAGCGAGCTAACAAAAAGCAAGCCCTTTTTCAATCATTCACACTCATGTGTCGTACAACATCAAGAACTCAGAGGTTTATCTCCATTGAAATCAGATCGCATCACAACATAACCCAATACTTGACAGAGATATGCTGTCAGTGGTACATAACCACAGGAGGGAACTTGAATTTAGCCGAGACAAACGGTACTGCCCACGGCCTCTCAACCAAATCATGGTAAAAATCGTACTCTGCCACATAATCGTGCAAGGACAGCTCTGCCTTCTGATTCGTGTGGTAGTGGTGCCTCACAAAATCAGATTTTCCGAACCCGAAAATGCTAACCCTCTCACAAATGCCTAATGCCAGCATAATCGCCTGCATGCCAGACGAGTAGTGAAAGTTTGCACCCTCGTGAGCAGAGCTCCACTCTCCCACATCCTTCCTCGTTTTCTCAACAAACCTTTTCAGTGAATAATACTTCACGACCCTTGCACATAAAACGTCAAATCGCGGGTCCGTGATGATCAAAGGAGCCTTATGAGAAGGATTGCACACTAAGTAATCCAAGAAATGTGCGGGCTGACATATATACATGACAATAGGCACGTCATCGCCATACGGATGGCAAAAGCAACCTTCCCTTCGCGCACACAAATGCAATATGTTGCTATTCACAAACGAGATATTCGTTTTTGCACCAACATTGGACTCGAATTTCCTTGTTCTGGCATTGTTCAAACGGATAACAGCCTCATGGCTATCGATTTTCCTGCCATGTTCACTTTTTAACAAGATCCCGCTATTTCCCACCACGGCACAGCTCTTGTAGGGCCCGATCGAGCCGTTTTTCCCATTGTGCTTATCGATCAAGGATTTAACCTCTTCGGTCAAGCCCGACAGTATATCTGAGCGGAATCTACGCTTCCTAGACCAGCCGCCCAAGTGCTTCCTGAAACTCGACCAGAGCCGGTAAAACTCCGGCGACCTGAGCTGCAAGGGAGTCCCTCTAGCCGACCTGAGGCGCAGGTCGATCTGATACTTCCCGGAAGACAAGAACGACCTCTGCCGGCCGCGGGTTCTGAAGTTACCCTCAAGAAGGTCATCGATCTCCTCCTTCAACCTCGGCTCCCCAATGTCGATTCCGGCAAATCTCAGAAGGGTTTCGTTAAATACAGGTCTTTGAGGGGTTTTAACCGGCGTGGCTTCGTATCTCAGCTGGAACGAGCTTTTTTGGTGAAACAGCACCCTGACGGTGAGCGTCGCCGCCATAGCCACGAGCAGGAGGAGGCTGTACAGGGGGAGCACGCCGCGCTTCATTGGGCTGTACATTTTCAGAGAAATTAACGACGGATCCCGTGAATCTTGGCCGTCCGGCGGCGGGTGCTAAAGTCCGGGAGATCTTAGTATTATTATGTGAAGAGATTTGGAGGGGATGAGAATGGTTCTGTTGCGATTCATCTCCGGCAAGAAAGTGAGGAACTGAAGCACGACTGCGCGAACATTGGCCGTGGATTTGAAGTGTATCAGATAAGCAGTGGAGTGAGCTGAAAGATGGAGTGAAATGAGAGAGATGGATCTGCAGAAATCAGAGGTAGATTTGGAGTGTGGAGGATTTAAAAGGAGACCTAAATAAATGTGAGAAGAAATATGGGCAATAAACGAACTCATTGCTTAGCTAATTAAATCGTTAGCTCCATAGCAAAACCGGTCGATACGAATTATCGCTAACTAAATGTTGGATGATCTTTAGTTGTCCTTGTAATCACGACAGACATTTCGAATTTATCTTGTGGATCTGGAAAATGGGACCCACTGCCGACAAATCAATAGACGGGTAAGTTTGTGAGCAAAATCAAACTCTGTAAATACTGTATATGCATTAGGAGGCTTCTTGGGAAAGTGATCCACCACTAATGGTCTTCTTATTAGTGTAGTCAAGAATTAATATTAAGGAATTTGCACCACTTACGGATCAATATAGTTTACACGATTTTGTTGTGGAGGCTCGGCTTATGAAGTTATCTACATGTATTCATAAATGGTGTATTAACACGTGTCTTACAATAATTACATATCAGACGTGTGTCATCACATCAAACAATTTCTCATAATTTACATTATATTTATATACTTAATAAATATTTATTTGTAAATTCAATCCTTATTTACCGTATACCATATTTAGTTTTGTTAATTATGTATTTTAAATATAGAAGAGACGGATAATATTCATAATTTTTTTCCTAATATCAAGGAATTAACACACCCCCACACCCGTGTCAACAGCTCGATATGTATGGAAGCTGGCATGAGGTATTTCCCTAACTAGTATTCATCATGTGCACATGCACAAAGAAAAATAAAAGTATTTATTATATGTATTATACAATATATAAAATTTTATATTAGATAATTGATGTATTTAAACTTTGACTACATGCAAATGTGTAATGTAAATATAATTTATTTAACTTACATATGAATATTTGTATTGATGCCATAAATTTTAATTGCTAATATAATTTAGTAATTTAGAGATAACATTCAATTAATTAGTTAGAAAAGTATTACAATTATTTTTATTATTGTTATAACATTGGTTCATGTGATTTTAAGGTGTTTAATTATGACCCTCATGCCAGTTAACTAAGATAAAAATCGCTTAAAACGACAAAAATATTTTATTTTAGAAAAAAATATTTTAAAGAAAAAAAAAATTGCAATACAATTTTTTATAAGTATGTAACTTCCACATACTATTTAATGTAAAGTTGTAATCAATTAGTATTAGTAGTGAATAAATTAGTTTAAAATTATTATCACTTTATTAATGTAAAATGTAACGGTTTTACATTAATTGAAAAAATGAGCGGGAAAATGAATAGAGATTTTATTAATTAGGTTTTATTAGATGCTATATGCCAGCAATTATATATATATATAGATTAATACCCACGATTTAAAGTATAAATGCATTTTATTTATTTCATTCATAAAGTTGCAATTTTTTGTGATTTTTGTAGGACACATAAAAATTTCCCTATTTAAATTATACTTCCTCCTATTTTTATTATTTATCATTTTGGCTTAATAGATCTTTGACTAAATAAATGTCGTTTTGATAATTTTGTTCATATTTTTTCATTTTTAACCCTCTATCAATGCATAATGTCTCTTCATATTTTCCCATAACATCCATTAAATAGTGGTAATATTGTCAAGAAAAAAAATTCTTAATTAGCGTGTTGCTTCTCAAAACGACAAATAATAAAAATAGGAGAGAGTAACTTTCTAATTCAAATTATATATTTTCAAAGTTCACTTTCAAATATTTGAACTTTCAATATAAATTCTATTAAAATTTTGCATAAATTTAACTTGTATAGATTAATGTTGTCATTAAGATAATCTTACTAAAATCCCCCTATCTATTAATCCAGAACGCGCTGAGCCTGCGTGGCTGCTTCTGGTACTTTGGAATCCTATGTGGCAAAATTACATGTTTCGTTATTAGGCTTGGATAAATTTTAATTTAATTCAAAACCAAAAATAATTAGGTTCGGATTACCATAAATATGTTGATTATTTATGGTCATGTTACATGTATTAATTACATTTTAATATCATTCCTTATTATAACTATTGAATTGAATATATATTTTAAAAGTTAATAACTTTTGTATTTTTTATCAATTTTACATATGTAATATATCAAATTAATCTTCTTTTGATGAGTTTCGATTTAACATCCATATTATATGTATAACAAAAATAATTTATATTTATCTTTATAACAATAATAAAATTATTTTTAATATTAACTAGAAAAAATAAAATTATTTATCAACTAATATATTTATATTTCAAGTAGTTAATGATATAAGTTATAAAAACTAATATAATATAACACATGTAAGTCATAAGTAACACATATCATTCTAAAATATATAGTAATATATTTTTTTATTTTTTTTTGTAAAAAAGTAAACTAAATTTAATATAGTTTTCTCATTAATTTTAAAATTTAAGAATAGTTTTTTAACAAGCACCCGTGTAATACACGGGTGTTGTACTAGTATTTAATATTTTTTAATTATATGTTACACAAAATATAAGTTGCAAAAGAATAATATTTTGGTTCACATAACTATGTAAAAAAATAAAGCTGAAACATTAAATTGAGAACTAAAATATAAAAGTGGGGCTTAAATTGCGACTAACTTAAAAATTAAAACCTTCAATTGAGAAAAATTAAAAACTCAAACCCTAAATTAACAAAATTCCAAAAATCTAAACCTTGTAATGGAAGTTTCCCTCTTTTTTCTGCAGGTCAATATGAAGAAATTCCATGTTTGTCAATCGAGCTCAAGAAAAATACCAGTCAAAGACATCTACCGATAAATGTCTGAATTTGTGACTATGCAACGCCTACAATGTATGCATTCCAAGAATCCTGCTGCTGGAAGCTCGTAGCCTCTTCATATTTCACGTCTTGCCCGACAGATAATCCATCCGTGCACCTCATTTCTTCGCTGTCGGGCATTTTTCGTATCCAAAAGTGGACAGAGCTGAATCCAGCCTCCTCCAAGCAATCCTTAATTTCAGGCAAAGACCACCTGGCATGAGAAAAAGATTTAGATATTACAACTGTAATTTGTTGTTCATCCATAATTAGGTACAATTATTAAAAAATTAATCTTGAGGTACTGCCTTTCAAACAGAAATGTGTGCTTCTAAGAGAATGTGGACTAAATCTCAAGAAGTAGGCAACTGAGCTTACAGTCTCCAGCTGTAACTAAACGCATGCCGAATCTTTCTATGCTGCTTTTGCAGATTGAAGTGGAGACTTATTCTTGTTTTCCTTTGAATGATGTCAAATTCACCTTGCTCCCAAATATACTGAAGAAAACGATATTAAGGTGAAGTACAAAAATAAATATGTAGCTAATGATATAGTTCGATACTGAAGGTCCATTTCCATTAAATTAACTAAAAATAAAGAAAGAACACAAAATTTAATACAGAATGACATGGAAATGGACAGACGCAGAAATTGGCTGTATTCGAAGTTGTGTTGTTAAGCCTCACAGCATGAAGAAAATTAAAATTGAAAAAAATTTCTCCTACTTATGACCTAATATTCTGCTACCCAACTGATGTTTCTTTATCCTTAAATGGCCATAGGATTTCCCAAGAAGGAGAAAAAGCAAATTCTAACTCATGTCTCGACTACATACAAAAAAAATAAGAATATGGATTCTACTGTGTAGAGAGTGTATTTGGTAATTTAATTTGGTAAATTGACTTCACAATTGGGTCTCTCTCTCTCTCTCTCTTTTTCCTTTCTGAAAGAAGTCAGCTGGTAGGCATTCGATACCCGACGCCTAAAAGTACTTACTATAATTAGATATTCTAAGTTCTGGCTAATACGTTCATCTAAAACCAGCATTTTATGAGATCTACCAGATCTATGCCATATAAGTAATAAAGTGCCATACCCATCAAGATACACCAAAAAGAATCTATGGTCTTTTAGCATACCGTAAAATTGGGAAATCTCCTCTGCAGTCTCAGCACACCCTCCGAGGATGAACCTCCATACAAATCCATCACAAAAATACCGCCTTTTTTACTAAGCGCATTAAGTACATGCTTGAAGTACAAAATCAGCTCCTTACGGTTATGCAAACAACAGCAGCTGTAGTTGAAAGCACAAACTATATCCCTCGTAGGCAATTGCATGTCCTTAAAGTATTTACCATCATGAACCGAACCATCTTCGTTGTCTTTCAATGTCAAGTTTTTCATGATCGCAAGAGGATTAACATTAACTAATTTAGATTCATGAGGTTGCAGGACATTCCCGTGAAGAAGTGATAGTCTTGAGCTGACATCAGCTCCAATTCTGTTGACATTATTTGTCAAACACCAGTTTAGTGCCTCCACATCTAAGTCTAGGCCTATGGCAGTTCTTCTAGCATCACCATGAAGCCACTCCACACTGCAAATTGTTTGAAATAGTAAGGATTAAAGATCAAATATTATAAGCTGAGACATATCAATAGTAAGGATTAACGAACAAACACTATAAGCTGAGACATATCTAGATACACCATAGATGGACCTAGATTATTTTAGTTAAATAAAAATTATAGACTAATTTGCATGCAAGACAGTCAAAACGGCTCTACATTAATATCTGGTGAAATGAATATTAAGTTACCAGTCGTCATGCCACCTTAAACTATACACTTTCGAGATGTTCCTTTAGTATGCATAACTCCAAATTAAAAAAATAACAGCCTGGTCTTCAAACGGGTAGGTACGTTGCTTGAAGGAGAACCTGTTTTTATGCTACTTTAAGTACATGAAGTTAGTGTTCTGTTAACCAAGATTGACAACAAAGAGGTCGAGAAGCATGACTGCATAAGGATCCATGATTTTGAACATGCACCAGTGTTCCTCTCATAAAATATATAAAAGTAACACACGAAATTTACAAGTTCATCGTAGGTGGATATTCAAATAAAGGCAATACCAAAATCGATGTAATTTTGGGTCCTCGATCATATATATACCATCTGGAAAGCGAAAAGCACTAAGAAAACACCTCAAAGTGCAAACTAAAAGTTAAACCATCTTCATTAAATAGACAACTTCAAATAATGACATTGGAAAAACACTACTCGATAGCCGAGATTCAGCTACAGCCCAAAATGAAATACACATGGACATAAAATATGCAACTTATTCGTCCGGGGTTTTCTTTGAAGTAAATAAGTAAATATAAGCACATTTGCACATTTACCACATGATAAAACCATATCATCATCAACAACAACAAACAATAACACACACAAACACACAATTGGCACCAAAACAACAACAACACGCATACTAGGGGTATCAAAAACATCCAAGAAAAATGTGGAAAAAAGATTGTATGAAAAGCAGGGGGTTAATCATATATACCTCAAAAGAGCAGTGCCGCAAAAATCTTCCTGGAGATGGAGTGGTGCCCTCCCACCAACGTACATCAAAAAGAACTTCTGAAGATAGCTTATATCCCCTTTTGGAGACTGCAAATTCACATAAAACACAAACAATCTCAACAAGATTCAATAATAGAAAATTTTTTCAAAGAATAGTAAAAGACTGCAAAAATAGCAAAAAGGGGTCTCCCGCTGACCTGCACCGACTGTTGATACAGAGAGTATTTTGAGGGGACGCCATCATCAGTTCCTTTAGCATCCTCAGCTTTGTCCTGCGATTCCTCGTTTTCGTCCTGCGATTCTTGGTCGGAGTCAGAGGAAGCAGCTTCACGAGAAGAAGATGGCTGTGGGCTTAACGAATACTCATGAAGTCCTAGTTCGTCGCCGTCGTCTTGAACAGTGTACGAGGTTCTTTTCCCTCTGCGGTGGTTGATGGTTTGCTTTTTGCCGTGCTTCCCCATTTGCGCTCGGCCAGCCGCCGCCCAAGTCCAGTAGAGAAACTTGCTTGGTTGCGGGTAACCCGGAGATTATATGTCTTATATTTTATTTCGATTCTGTCAACAGTAACTTAGTGCGAGGTGTGATGCAGAGGAAAATAATATTAAATATACAAATATACAAATAAATTAATTAAATATATAAATAAATTAATCAAAATTTACTTGTCGTTTTTAAATTAAACCGTGTTGAACACAGTCCGACCGGATGGACCGAGAACAGGTTTATAATCAGTTTAGTTCACTTGAATAAAATATTTGCTATTGAATCAACACCAGTCGGTTGAACTGGTTGGGTCGATACGATTTTCTAAATAAATTCGGTTATATTAAAAATTATGTTAAATAAAATTAGATATTTTAATAAAATAGAGATTTATAAATTGTTTATCAATTAATTTGAAATTTTGAATTTTGAATTGTTTAGATATTTAAATAACACAATTATTCAAATTTATTATAAAACTATTATATATATATATTAAAACGTATTTTTAAAGAAAAAATAAATTGCATGATTTTTATAAATTAAATTATATGATTAAATTGTATGATTATATTAAAGCGTATTTATAAATTAAATTGTATGTTTTTTAAAGAAAAAAATAAGAAAAATAATAAAACTATTATTTATGCGTAACATTAAATGTTGACCTATTTTTTTGCTATTAATTTTAGTAAATATGATGGCTCTTTATATAAGTATAGATAACGTTTTTAGACCAAAAAGACTAGGAATTGTTATTATATTAATGAGAGATGTTACGGTCCCGTTACGAAATCATTCCGTCGAGGTTTGTAACTGTTAGATCAACTATTCCCAATGGTTACATGATGATCTAACGGTAACAGTTACAAACTCCGACGTAATGGTTTTGTAACGGGACCGTAGTATTTTCCTATATTTTTTTTTTTTGGTACAGGAAAGGGAAAGCACAGCGAAAGCTAATGCTCGATCACGACCCGGCGGGGTTGAGCCACGCCTAGGCGATCATAATGTAACCAAGGTCCAGCTCCCAGAGGGGGTTGATCAAATCGTTGCAAGCCACCCGCTCCTTTGGCTGCAAGAGATGCCATGAAATCCGCCACAACGTTCGTTTCACGATGACCGTGAACAATCTGAAGGTCCCATGGGCGCTCCAACAATTCTTTTATGCCCCGGATGAGACTCCCATGAGGCCCAGTAGACTCCTCACTATGAACCAAGGCAATGATGCTTCGATTATCCACTTCCGCCACGAGCTTACGAGCCCCAATATCCCATGCTAGCTGCAAACCTTGGAACAGACCCCAGAGTTCGGCCCCAACAATGGAGCAATAACCAATATTCATAGTAAAGTCGCCGATCCACGACCCACAGTGGTCACGAACCACGCCCCCAGCACTCGCCATTCCCGTCGTTGGGACAAAACTGCCATCCGTGTTAACTTTCAATACCCCTTCCG